CATGATGTGAATGTGATCCGTACGGTCAATAGTCAGCACTAAGCTATTAACTTTTTTTCATCAAGCTTACAGAAGTTTAAAGAAAAGATTGTCAAAATATGGAAATAAAAGAGACCCTAAAGCAGGGGTAGACATTAAGGGTAAAATGCCACCGGCCCTCCGGGCTGGTGGAATTGTATTATCACTGGCCCCACCATTGTAACCACTGGCCCGGAGCATTCGTCCAAAAAAAATCGACTAATAATGAAGAAAATTAACACATTTGTTGCAATAGTAATGTATGCACTAACTACATTACTACTTGTACTACAACATTTGAATAATCAGTTTTCCTCATTTTCCTCAATTGTTCATATTTGGTTTATTAAAATAATGATATTGTGGTCATTGTTAAAAAATGTCTGCTATTATTATGAGTATTATTATTTGTATAATGCACTTTCTGCCTTCTGTCATTAGGAGTTAGACATGTAATGGCTATGTAATTAGATTAGATTAGAACCTTCATTATCCGAAACTGCTGGGACATTTCCCTATAGCCAATACCTTTATATTTTCTACTCTTCACTTACGTGTCAGCATAGGTCGGCATTGATGTACAGAGCCGACAGAAGACCTTGTTTATATTGGCATCATATTGAGAGGTGCAGTGACGCGTCCTAAAACCAGGAAGTAAGCTGCTGGTTCCCTCGACAAAAAGCAATGGGATTTCTCCACAGGGAACATAGCTGGAAATAAGGTCTGTGGAAAACAAACCTGTTTGATAAATGCACGTTTTGTTCAGCCGGATAATCTCCACATGTCTACCCTACTTTTATCATTTTCGAATCATAAATCTAATCGATAGATTATAAAAGGGTTTTAGGACGCGTCACTGCACCACTCTATGAAGAAGCCAACTCCATCGATCAAGCTGGCTGAAACTTTCTCTCCCTCTTCTTCTCATGCTCCCTGTCACGCTCCTTTAACTCCTCCGGTGACTTTCTTTTATTTGAAGATTGTTTTTTGCCCGGCGCTTGGCCGGTTACCGCTGGTATTAAAAACATTTTGGCGAATGGTTGGGTGGCGCGATAGTCTGTAGTGAAGGAGCGCGCTCCCGCTCACGAGAGCCTGCTTGCGCTCCCGCTCACGGAAGCCTGTTCCGCAGCAAACAGCTGTTTGCTTTTCACCCAATAACGACAACCGACTCATGGAACGCTAGTTGTAGCGTTAATAAACAAAACAATTTAACTAAATTGCTAGTCAAAATACCAATACCACCGGACAATCTAAAAAAGCAATATTTTTAGTGGCCCGAGCGGGCAAGTGGAAAGTAGCCTACGTTATGCTGGCTCGGGGTGTCTAAATAGTGCTTCCGGGCCAGCGGGCCATTTATAATGTCGAGCCCTGGCGGTTACCGGCCGGCCCAGATCGTCCGACCGGCCCACTTCAGTACCGGCCCATCGGGATTCATCCCGAACGTCCCGATGGCCAGTCCGCCCCTGGATACACACCAACCCCCAGCAAGTGCGCCGGACGTTGAAGCAAATGTTCATAGTGGCCAAACGGCAGTACTGCAACGTCTGTGTCAGTCTGTGACGTCATTGGGCCCAAACATACTTTTTCCCATTGATTGACATTGGGATAGAGACGTCTGTAAATCGGCGGATAATTTTTCTGAACAAAATAAACTACCCAGTGTGAACAATTTTATAGCCCTAAGTTAATTCATTAGGGTCTAAAAGCGCTACATGTTCACTCTCCATTCATCTAACTGAGCCGAGAGCGGGATATCGGAGGTATCCAGTTCTCTTTATACATAAGTGAAGATTGGTACTATGAATGTTTTACTTAGTTTTGGGGACATTTCATAACCCAAAAGTCAAACAAAAATATTCTGCTTACGTGTTTGTGTGTTTCTCTCGCTCACCCTTGTCTCGTCTCTGTGCTGCAGGTGGAGACGGAGAGTCAGGAGCTGGTGGACGGCTCCCTCATCGACCTCTGCGGCGCCACCCTGCTCTGGCGCACGGCCGAGGGCCTGGCGCGCACCCCCACCCTCAAACACCTGGAGGCGCTGCGGCAGGAGATCAACGCGGCGCGCCCGCAGTGTCCCGTGGGCTTCAACACGCTCGCCTTCCCCTCCATGCGGCGCAAGGACACGCCGGACGAGAAGCAGCCCTGGGTGTACCTGCAGTGCGGCCACGTGCACGGATTCCACAACTGGGGGAACCACCGCGAGGAGAGGGAGGGCCGGCAGAGGGAGTGCCCCATGTGCCGCGCCAAAGGGCCGTACGTGCCGCTGTGGCTGGGCTGCGAGGCGGGCTTCTACGTGGACGCCGCCCCCCCCACACACGCCTTTAACCCCTGCGGCCATGTCTGCTCGGATAAGACGGCGGCCTTCTGGAGCCAGATCCCGCTGCCGCACGGCACACACACCTTCCACGCCGCCTGTCCCTTCTGCGCCCAGCAGCTGAGCGGGGAGCAGGGCTTCGTCAGACTGATCTTCCAGGGGCCCCTTGACTAGCGGCCCCTCGACTAGCTGCCCTGCGTCCTTCGGGTGAGGTGGAGGGGGGAGTTTTTCTGTTAAAGACCCTGCAAAGGAAACGGGGAGCGACACAGATTTCGTTTCCCTCTACGATACAAACTTTTTTCTGGACCTTTTGTCTCTTTCTCATTTTTAAGTGACCTTTGTATTGCTTTTACATGAATGACAACAAAGATTTCTATATTTTCATGTGAAACCAGAGACACAAAAACCAAACAGAGAACACTGCTGGGTAAACGTTTTGTTTGTTTCTCGGAAAGAACTTCCAACAACAGTATTTTTCTAAATCACGAACACACCGTAGTGCAAGCTCACGGTTTTATTCACGTTTATTGTTGCAATATGCATCTGTGTACATCTCTTAAAGCTAATTTAAACAAAGATGTTTATTTATGGCCCAGGAACCATCGCTTCATCCTTTAATCTGTCAGATATACCTAACTTCCAAACTATTTAGCATTTTCATTTGAAATACAGTTTATTGTTAGTCAGATGTAAAGTTTAGGTGTGTTCTGAGGGTTCTGTCTGTCCTCAGATCTGTTTGTCGTATTTATACACCCCGTCCTCTGGCGTGCTCTCACCTGTTTACCCTTCAGCTTCAACTTCTCGCCTTTTCACATTCAAAGCAATAGATCTGGAAACCTCCCAAAGCATTATGGGAAACTGAGTCTTCTTGGTGTCTGGGTAACTCTCAGGCAGCCTCAATGGAGCGCTCCCGCCCTTTAAAGTCCGCCTGACACTTTTATATGTGCGTGATCTTTTCTGATCAGAGAATAGCCATGATACCGCAGCTATGTAGCTACCACACACACACACACACACACACACACACACACACACACACACACACACACACACACACACACACACACACACACACACACACACACACACACACACACACACACACACACACAGGCGACTTGTGTGGTTTGGTTGGTCACTTATAGTGTCATGACAGTGGTGATTAATGTAGCATTAGCCCATTCTCACAGCTTTTTTTCCTCATAAATTTGAAGCGTAACTCACTGCATTTATGGGTAAAGTCCAATTTGAAAAGTAATCTGTCCACGTCAGCCTTTCATGGGAGTATTTATGTTTCCATTGTACGACATGCCTCCTCATTAGTGACGCTTCACAAACGAGATAACGGCATACACTCTGCGTTACAAGCCAACAATTAATTTATCCCTGTCTACACGGAAACACCGCAAACAGAGTTTCTGAAAATCTTTTGGAAAAGATCAGTTTTCAGTCAAATGAAATGCTGACTGATTTGTGGATAAAAAAGGCCAAAAAAAAAGCTAACTTTACAGAAATACCTGTGTAGGTGTGGACGAGGCCTCGGTCTAATACCCTTTGTAATGGTAACCTGTAAACACAGAGGTGCTCAGCCATAGCCTGTCTTTATGTTTTTATTGGTTTACTTTATAAGTGGTGGCTTGTTGCTGCACACTGAGCTTTAGTTTACTAGTGTTTGGAGGCAACACACACACACACACACACACACACGCTTGTTGTGGGAATTGATGAATACAGTACACACACACTGACTTTCCTAACTCTGGTCCTTCCTGACTCATTGTAGGAACAAACTGTAAATGCACACACACATTAAACGTTGGCCATTGTTGTGAGCGTATTTGGATACATGTATATGCACTTATAATTAAACGTTACCCATGGGAATCTGGGTTTCAACTGCCAGCAAAACGCTTTCTCCAGCAGACTGCCCTGCCCTCTCTCCGGATACGGGCTGAACTTCGCCATGGTTACACTCCTGCCATGGTTACTGTTCCCAAACGTTGCTGTGGCTGTGTTCTCTTCTCACCATGGTTACTCATAAACCCTCCGAGCGGCGTTTGATCCCAACAGATCTGCTCTCAGAAAAATTTCGCTGCAGGCTGGGCGTCCTCAATGCAAAGGGTGGTTTCAATCCAAGATTCTGATTGGTCAAGGACACGCTCCAGCTGTGCAGCAGGAGTTCTTTTTTTTTTAGGTTAACTTCTTTAAATGATCCTTTGCAGACATTACACAGTGTCTGCAGTCCTGGTTTAAGACGTTGAACCTTTTACGTCTGAATGAGCTTACCTTTTTATTATGACAGTTTTTTTCTTTTAAATAGTCTTTTTCTGGCCATTTTGCTTTGTATTACTGTATGGATAAAGAATTGACAGATTTTAATAACGAGAGAGGGGATGATATGCAGAAAGGTCCATTTTGTTATGAAAAATAACAAACATTAGCTAAAGTAAATACAGAAAAGCCTGTAGGAAGCATATTTCATTGCAGTTGAGTATATTTGCACTACATTAGTGAAGCTGGAGGAGTCCATCACTTCTGTGGCTTCTTGATGTCATAACAACGTTAAAGTAGTGAGCCGTGTGTATGCATATGGTAATGTTTATAAAGAGGTGGTTCCAGGGCCGTTTCTAGCTGTTTGGGGGGCCATATGCAAGATGCTGTTTGGGGTCTGTGATGGCCACAGCCACACAGGGTAAACCAACTACAATGCACCCTCACCTTCAGTAGTTTTGCTTCAGTGCAGCTGCAATAAAATATGCCAATTAACACCACACATTTGCTTTAAATGGTAAACTCTTTATTTGATTGTAATATGACAATAATTCAAACATTTTAACACAGCTAACACAAGTATTTGTTTGTATTAATTACTTTCTTTGTCTCTTGAGTTATAGCTTTTATAGGCTTAGTTATTAGAAATGATTGATTTATTATGTTTTTTTTTTTACTTTTGGGTAAATAAAAAACCCAGTTTATTTAAACCACTCCTGTGTCCTGTTGCCTTACTGCTTGGTCCCCGACAGGGTCCCTAGTTTTTTTAACTAGAATGGGGGGATTCTGAGGCCTTTAAGGTGATCTGTGGAGATGCATCAATCTGTTACACTTTAAGAGGAAAACAGGCTAATTTCACGAAAACCTGGAAAGGACAGCAAGAGTGTTTAAACCATTAGCTGCCTTAGAACATGTGCACTTTATTTCTCCATAGGGGGTTAATTATTGGATTTATATACCTTGTTTTGCTTTTGTTAATCCCTTCACATTGTTGTAAACGACCTTCTAATAAGTTGAATAAGCGATCTTTATTTGCGTGTGAACACTACCTTCTTGGCCTTTTCTGCCGTAATGAATCAGCTGCAGGCAGGTCATTTTAAATCAGAAAAACACTTAAAGGTAGCTCGAGATGACAAATGTTTTCTCACAGACACAAACGGCACAGTCACGGTGCTCTCGGAGTCACAGAGGCTCCTTTCTGTTGGAGGGAACGCCTTGTTTATCCTCCTCAGCCACGCATCGGGATAAATGAGTCTCTTTGTGTGTTTATTTTCTCAGTCTTTCTGGGGTTATTTTTGGAGGGCTTTGTTCTTTGTGGAGACACGATGTACTTTTGTTTAAAAGAAACGGCTTGTATTAAAAGTATAGGCTGCATTGAGCGTGTGTAGGTGTGTGTTTACTAAATGTGTGTGTGCGTGTACAGTATATATGTGTGCATATGGTCTTTGAGGCTTGGAAGGAGTGCAATAAAAAACCTCAAGTATTTTCCGCTATCACAGTTTTTTCAATGTATTATACGACTGCTCAGACTATAATGCCCTATGTGTGTGTGTGTGTGTGTGTGTGTGTGTGTGTGTGTGTGTGTGTGTGCGTGTGCGTGTGTGTGTGTGTGTGTGAGAGAGATACAATATGTGTGTGTGTGTGTGTGTGTGTGTGTGTGTGAGACAGATACTGTGTGTGTGTGTGTGTGTGTGTGTGTGTGTGTGTGTGTGTGTGTGTGTGTGTGTGTGTGTGTGTGTGTGTGTGTGTGTGAGAGATACAATATGCGTGTGTGTGTGTGAGAGATACAATATGTGTGTGTGTGTGTGTGTGTGTGTGTGAGAGATACAATATGTGTGTGTGTGTGTGTGTGTGTGTGTGTGTACCATCAGGGCTTCTCCCAGCTCTACAACATGAGTACAAACTATCAGGACTGCCTCTTCCTTATTTATTTAATGTATGAACTGCGACGAGACGTTTATTTCTCATAGCGGCTGAACACGGTTCATTTCACCGGCTGTATTGACTCATGGAGGCCGACAGATCAACTTGTGATACATGTGGTGAATCTTGTTTTAAACTGTGTAGACCACAAATAATAGCCTGCAGTTTAATTTATTCTCAATTATGTGAGAAGGCCAAACAACAGGAAGAAACTCTCGTCTGTTGTCTGCTAAATGTTAAAGAGTTTATTCTACGTCAACAAATCATTTTTATGCCAACATCATAACTTAATAAAGAGCAGTAAATCACAAGAGCTGTGATTTTATTCAAACTTAATGAAAAACAGACGTCTCAATCCTAGAGCCCCCACTGGCTCGTGATTTTAGATATAAAATATATTTATGAAGGATTTAAAACCAACTATGAAGACAGCTATCACCAACAGACTCTGCGTCAGTTCACTAGAGTTAATAAGAATCTGTATTACTTTTATTATATTCCACTTTATTTACAGATAAGATTTATTTGTATTAATGCGTGATACATCGTATATATTTGTATATATACAAAATACCTTTTCATTCATTTAGAGAATAATATAATCTCAGTATGAGCCAGATTATTCTGTTTAAACTTCAAAATGTTGAGCTCTCACAGACAAAGATAAGCCAACAATGAAGTAAACGTCCTTTTAGTGAATTTTGTATTAATTTACAAAACGAACTGCATCCCACTGCTGCGCAAAAACCCTCATGAGACTTTCCAATCACTACGTCAATATTATAATAACTATATCACAATTTAAATAAGTATATCAATATTGTGAATGTCAGTGGCAAACTAACTTTGGCGTAGGGCCCTTCTTGAATGTATCACTTGTTTAAACTTGTAATAACATCAACTTTTAAAGCCAAAATGAACCAGAAGTTCTTTAAGAGCTCCGAAAATGTAAGAATATCATGTAATGATGATGATGATGATGATGATGGAAAGTGAGCCTGAGCTGCTGCATGGACCTGTGGTTAGATTGTTATTCCTACTACTGACACCGAATGTATAAATAAACAGATATATGAAGTAGTGTAACCCCTCCAACTACCTCTATCAAGAGAGACTAAAACATGTTTGCAGAGACAGTCCTGATAGTTTGCACTTCATGTGAAAGCACACATTCTCCCACACTGCTGCTGCGTACACACACACACACACACACACACACACACACACACACACACACACACACACACACACACACACACACACACACACACACACACACACACACACACACACACACACACACACACACACAGCTGAGGTCTTTTGAGGATACCTCATGAGTGAAATTGGTGTGTCTCTTCGCCCAGTTGTTTTTTGCGTTGCTCTGGTACTTTGTGTTTCTCTCTGTGGATAAAGTGTGTGAGTAAGGGCTGCACTCTGTAATCTTATCTCTGTTTTTCTACACAAACACACACATCTGTCGTTCGTCCACTCCGCTCTTCCTCTTCTTCTCCTCCTGTCCAGAGTCTCCTTGTGCTTGTAAAAGCAAAAGCAAAGAATGTTTCCAGCAAACACTTTTTTGTAACAACTTTCAACAATAAAGTGTAAACAAAAGTGACACATGGCTTTGTGTACTGGATTATCATTTCAAAAACTAACAAAATCTTTGTTTTGCAGCTTGGAAACAAAGAGAGATAACAGAGGGGGTCATTTATTAATATTACTACTAATTATATAATAGCAATACAACTTCAATTCCAGTGTTTGTTTTTTACAGTGGACTGAGGGAATTGAATAAGATTTAAATGACACGTTTAATTAAATGAAAGTCTGGTGATATTCAGTCAAGTGTTCAAGTATTTAAATCCTTAAATGAAATGTAAAATGAGTCATAATAATTGTTATATAGGGGAAAACCATAATTAAAAAACTCTGGTTGCTGTCAGTATTATTTATTTGTTCTGAAATTACAATCAAACCCCCCCAAGCTGCATTGTGTGCATCAGCCATTGATGATTAAAGAGAATGTGAAGCTTCATGATTTTTAAATAAAAACATTCTGGCAGAGACTCTAACCTAGAGACTGTTGCTTTCTAAACTGCACATTTGAAGTTGCTGTTCAAAAGGTATAGATCTCAAATATTTCTTTAAAAGAAACTTAACAATGAGCACCATCTTCAGCAAAACGATCTTCAATGAGCTGCGTCGGGAGGGGACGCTGTGCGACGCTGTGATCCGAGTGGAGGACGTCGGCTTCAGAGTCCACAGGATCGTCCTCTGCAACAGCAGCACCTTCTTCAGGTGAGCTGCTCAAAGAGTTTATTAAGGATTCACATCAAGTGTGTCTTCATGTCACTCAGAGCAACAGCTACAGGTGGCTGTAAAGGCACCCTGTGGAGGCTTCTGACCACTAGTAGGCCTACAGCTGTGGAGCAATGTTTTAAAGGACAAGAAAATCAGCTTTTAAAATGTTTTTGGGGGAGATTTGTTGGCATTCACTACATTTTGGTGAGAAACATGTAAAAAGTCTTAACAATGAATATGTGAAAAGTTAACACAAACTGGAGAACCCAAATGCACGACCCAGAGACAGTCTTTAATGTAGTAAAACATTTCCTTTTAGTTTCCAAGAAAACTGAAAATCCCTCTTAACAGAGTAGGTACTGGATTTAACATAAAGTGCTCACAAGGAGGAAAAAACAAGCGTAACAAAAGGAGAATTTAAGATGAACTTAAGCTTACAAAAAACATAACAAAATAACAAAACCTGACTAGACTGGAAAAGACCCTTTCTTAGTTGAAGCTTGGCACGACCATCCATGGAAACAAACAAGACGAACTGACACAGGACAGGGGAGAGACAGGACTATTCAAACATGAGGTGAGTGGGAACAGGTGGAAACAAGCAGGGGCCGGGCAGACGCTGATGATGGCGGGAAAAATACACAAGGGGAGGAAGAAACAGGGCTTGAAATGAAAGACAAGAGGTAAGTACAAAATAAAACAGGAAGTGACAGACAAAATAAACAAACAAAACCAACACATTTGACGAGACACAACAAAAGTGCCTTGAAAAAGTTTTAAAAGACAACGAAGATTCCACAGATTGGAGGATTGGTCAAAACCATCATAGCCAGTTTATACTGCAGGTCTAGGGGAGCAATACTGCATATTTGGAAAAAGTTAAAAAGTTTTATTGCTTAAGAAAAAGCGTTGTTATGTCTGATGAAGGTCATTATGTATAGCTTTGTGATATAAGAACAAAATAAATCACAATATAGCTGATTTTGTAGAGCTGACTATTGGTGCTTTTACTCAATTTGAACGCACTTCTTGATAAATAATCATCAGTATTGTGGATGTATTGACTAAGTGTGAAAAGAGAAAGAGTTGGAACAGTCTAGTAGGATTAGAAAATGACATCAACTGTAACAAAGCATTTCAAATGATGTACCACAATTACGATTTTTCTTTGTAGACTGTCATAGTCTCATAACATATGATCCGATTATATCAACATATCGCCCCAGGACTACTGAGACCTCACCTGAGTCTGGTAAAAGACTACAAGTATGAAAATGAAACATTTCTGGATTTGTATCGTAAAAAAAAGAAAGAAAGTGAACTAACCCTATACTTCAGTAGCCAGCTTCTCATTTCTGCTGTACAGGCTTGAGGGTACGTTACAATTACAAGACTCCCACATCTCCTACTGTCAGATGCATTTTGGGTAAGGTCGGCACCAGATTGTGTTAATAAAGAAGAATGTGTGGTATAAGAAAATACATTATCTCTGGTTCTGTTGATCTATCTGATGTTTAAAATATCTTTTCGTGGCCAATTTTGCCCGTATTGTACATAGGACAGATGGATTGAAAGGAGAAAGTCAGACTTGTTTCTGCTGCAGTTAGGACTCAGCCTGAGTACATGAGCTTCAATTGTTTTAACCGTCACTCACAATGTTATAGAGTGTAATGCTACATTTCGAGGAACTCTTAAAATGCAGGTTTGAGTTAAAATTGTAGGAGTTTGACAGAAACACCCTGTTGAACCTCTTGTTCCTGTGACCTCTGGTCCCACAGGGAACTCTTCTGCAATTTATCTGGACCATCGGAGCATCAGGTCTTCAGCTTCTCACAGGTCTCCCCCATCACCATGAGCCTCATCCTGGACTTCATCTACACCGGCTCCATGGTGGTGACGGAGGAGAACGTTCTGGAGCTGTTGGCCGGAGCAGAGAGCTTCTCCGTCGGGGGCGTCATGAAGGCCTGCTGCCTCTTCCTGGAGCAGAGACTCAACACCAAGAACTGTGTCCACATCTGGATGGTGGCGGAGTTCCACACATGTCCCAAGCTGAGGCAGAAGGCCTACCTGTTCGTGCTGCATCACTTTAAGGAGGTGGCGGGCTTCTCTGTGAAGTTCCTGCAGCTCTCCGTGCAGCAGCTGGCAGATCTCATCGAGCAGGACGAGCTGAATGTGAAGCAGGAGAGCATCGTGTTCGAGGCGGTGCAGCGCTGGATCGACTACGCCCCGCAGGAACGCCAGGGTCACATGGCCGCGCTGCTGAGCAAGGTACCTGAAAGCACCACGTGAACTGCTGCTGGTTTAATTTATTTATTAACTATTTAAGCACAGTGTTCAGGTAGGCTACTTGTACTTTTACTACAGATACATTGGCGCCCCCCGAAAAGGACTCAAAGTCTGAACTGTTGACATCTGACATGCTAGTGTTTTTGTACTATTTTCTAATTCAAACTCAAAGGCTTACTTGTCATGTGCACAACAGCAATTACAATCCTAACTTAAGTTTTAAGATTCTTGAGAACAATTATTTGAAGTGTCCCAGGTTTAACAGGTCCAAATGTAACGCAGTCTGACTTTCGTCTGCGCAATAAAAAAACACAAATGTGTACTTAGAGCACATGTGTCAAACTCAAGGCCCGGGGGCCAAATCAGGCTCTTGATTGGTTTAATTTCGGCCCGCAGGATAATTTTTTAATTACTATTAGATCTGGCCCAACGGTATATTGCACGCACACCTTCACTCCATCCTGAGGGTTTCCTCCGCTCAGAGCCTGAGCCCAAACATTGATGAACTTGCATCCAAGATGAGATGCCAAGTATCTGCTTGAACTAGCATCACCGAGCAGCACACTGAGTTTAATGGATGTTTCCTTCTGCACTTTCTTTCTTGAGACAACAGGGCATGTTTGGTTTTTTCTTTGAGTGAAATAGTTTTTTTGAAGCTGTTGTTGGCCTGTAGGTAAATGTAATCATAAGAAATAACTCTGGAAAAGCTGCAGATAGAGCCATAAGAAATGAATGCAGCTGATCCTTTAATGTGTTGTTTTTATAGGCAATTATTTAAGCTTTGTTAGTTCCAGGTTTAATATGTGCAATAAGTTCATTTCAATAAGTTTTGCAATTAAATATTGAACCAGTCCGGCCCTCGACTAGTACCCATTTTTTTATTTTGGCCCACTGTGTATTTGAGTTTGACACCCCTGCTTTAGAGTACCAACGAAAACAAAGATGATATTTTCCTGGTTTTGCTCATCGTTCATTTCAATAAGCTTCAAAAAGACCGTGAAAATGTCTGGTAATCATATTACTAGTTCTTTTATGGCAAGATAACAAGACAATCACGAGAATAGCTACTTCGGTAGAAACAGAATTGCCAAATCCAGTGGATTTCACTTGAACATTTTATACCATCTTATTGGCCAGCCCTAGGCCACAATTCCTGATATTTGTGTAAAACTGTTGACCACAATGTGAACATATGTATAATAAAACTGAATCTGAAATAAACACTAAGTTAAAAAAAAAAATACATCAATAAGTGTCTGCAAATAATGATTGGTTTAAAAACTCCTTATTAGTTAAATCCTCCTTGTTTTCCCGATCTAGGTGCGCCTGCTGTCAATGTCCAGTAGTTACCTGGTAGAAACTGTGATTAACAACAACTTGGTGAGGAAGTGTGTGTCGTGCATGACCTTGGTGATCGACGCCATGAAGACCCTGCGAGAGGCCCATCTGGAGCGACCTCTGACCCGCGCCCGCCTACCCTCTGCGGTGCTCATGACCATCGGAGGCAGCGAGAAAGAATGTTTGACGGATAGGATGGACTTCTACGATGTCCGAGCCGACTGCTGGCTGCCCATGAACAGCCAGGAGAAGACCTTTAGAGTTCTGCACGGTTGCGTCTTTCTCAATGGATTCATATACTGTATTGGAGGAACTGACCTGAGTAACATTTTGAGCAGCGTGCGTAAGTTCGACCTCGTCAGCCACACGTGGCAGGAGTTGGTGCCCATTCACAAACCCAGAAAATGTGTATGTGCGGTGGCTCTGAACGGATGCATTTATGCCATCGGAGGTACTGACGGGCGCGAACAGAAACTTGCAGAGCGGTTCCAGCCGGAAAACAACCGATGGGAACTGATCGCTCCGATGCTCGATTTCAGGAGTGACGCCTGCGCCGCGACGCTACACGGCAAGGTAGGAGGATCTGACGACCTTAAAGAGCAATTGAACAGCAGCTGGAATCCTTTTTTTATGCTGACCTCTAGTGGTTTAACTTCCACCAAGTCGCAGTTGTGCAAAAGTGACCTCCAGTTGCCTGTAATGGCTCCTTTGAGCATGTTCCAGCATTTATGAAGTTTAAGTCAAATACAAACAAGACCCTTCCAATATCTTAGTTTTTTACAATCATCATGAACACATAAATTACTTAGTATTTAAATAGGCTATAGGTTATATTTGAACAGGACACCTGGCTGGAAGTTTTAAGAGAAACAAGCTAATCAAACTTAGCCTTTAGCTTGTAGCGCCTTTGTAAGGGAAACAGATTTTTAATGTGAAACTGTAGATAAATAATTAATGTTTCTTCTGCGAATAGGTCTTCAACAGAGAGGTGTAACAGGAGAAATGCTATCGCTAGCGTGGCAACATATCCATGCTAACATGCTGATAATTAGCGAGTGCAATGGGAATCATGTTTATCGTCTTAGTTGAATGATGTTAGCTAAAAAGCTCCAAACACTTTGCCTACGGCTGAAACAGTTATTGTTGCAAGTATTTTATTACAGACAAACCTAGAGCTATGTTTTGTTGTATGGCTAACAACTACAACTGTCTGTCATTATATTAAAATTGTTCCTGTGTAGATATATATTTGCGGCGGTCTAGACAACGAAGAACCTCTGTCCTCTGCCGAGTGCTACAACCCCAAGACCAACGAGTGGACGATGATCGCCTCGATGGACTGCGGCTGCGCTTCAGCTCGGGCTGTCGTCTACAGAGACAAAATATATCTGGTGAGAGGAATAAAAAACATTCAAACACAATCACATACATCAAGACACAGACATGGACTTAATTGCATGTGGTTTGGGTTGGTTTGCATTTGCTGTCAACCTGGTTTATTTATGTGTACGAGATTTGGACATCTGAGGCGTTTTAATGACCTGAAACGTTTACAACCTCTTGACTTTTCCTCTTTATGTAAGAAGACTTAGTGATTGCATTAGCAGTGATGCAACAGCATGTGGTTTCTTCTTTAATGTGTAATCACTATGAACATATTATCATAGCATCTCAAACATTAGAGCCAATTTGTACTCTTAATTAGGCCCTAACCAGGTGTAATTTATTTGTAGCCTTTCAAATAGATGCTTTGATACTAACCTAATACAATTTAAACAAACTGACCTAAGAATTTCATTGTCATAACTACACTGTAGCTATGTACATATGACAATACAAGCTTTGAACCTTGAATACAATTTAAATAAACTGAAAACTAACAATTTTAGTAAAACGTGAAGTGAATAAAAAAAAAAAACAATCTAGTTGGCTTATCGAAGACTTCTTAGTCAGGTGGATGACCCTCTGTATGTAATGGAGTATGTTTCTATTGTGGTAAATGTGTTTTAAGTAAATATCTCCCTCCTCTCACAGGCTGGAGGCCACATCAACGGCGCGTCTTTGTGCCGAGTCATCGCCTACGATCCTCTATCAAACCAGTGGAGCACGATGACTCCCATGATCTACGCTCGCAGGCACTTTGGCATGGCGGTGCTGGAGGAGCAGCTGTATGTGGCCGGAGGGTACAACAACGAGAGCGACCTCTGTAAGATGGAGCGTTTCGATGAAGACTCCAGCAGGTGGAGCACAGTGCGGGACATGGAGGCGCCTCTCTACGGCTTCAGCTTCTGTGTGGTGGAGCGGCACTTCTACAATGCTTCAAACTTGCCCAAATTAACTACAGGGTTCCCGATATGTCCGTGAATGTGTGATCATATGGAGTGTCTTACTACCGTTTAAGAGTTTACTGTTAATCATTAAGAGCAATCATCAACTGTCAGCTATTTTTCAAATAAAGAAATCTTATTGACATCTTTGACCTCCCTGCACAGTCTCTGTGAAAGGGGAGATGTAACATCTTTCTTTTTAGAAACAAATAAAAGATTGCATTACATTTTAATATCGTTATTTTAGGTATCTATCTATCTATATCAACCATATGGACATGTTTGCTGTTTCACAGACGGCTCATTTTGTGCTGCTGGTGTTAAAGACTGGGCTAAGGAGTGTTTTCAGTTTCTCTCCCACACACTCCGCCCCCATTAGACTAATTGTCTTACTTCCAAAACAAAGTGACATCACAACGTAACTCTCGTACTTCTATTGGCTAGCGCTCCAACACACTGTACGTGATAGGCTAAGGGGCGGGACATCTCTAAGCAGTTGACCAATCACAACAGAGCCGGCCAGCAAACCAATCAGAGCACACTGGGCTCTGGTTTCAGACAGAGGGTGAAAAGAGGTGCTGCAGCACAGACAGTATGAGACAAGTAAAGAGCTTTTTCAACATTAAAGCATGGAGACATGTAGAGACACTACATACAAATATACACCTGAACATCAGCAGGAGAGGACTCTTTAAAGTGTGAGTATGTTAGAAACAACAGATGAGCGCACGTCATTATTTCATCATTGCAACTTTATTCAGACTCTGAGGAGGCAGAACTGAGTCCTCCGTCACAGTTCAACACTTATTTTCTTTCAGGCTTTCGGTCCGTGGACCCATCTCAAGTATTCTCACACTTCATACTTTGTATTTTGAACATGTCTACCGTCTGAGTGTGTGTGTGTGTGTGTGTGTGTGTGTGTGTGTGTGTGTGTGTGTGTTGCACCTCCTGTCTTTGCTGTGTGTAGGTGGACAGAGGCGACAGGAGAGATTTGATACTGAAGTGCAGGCATGAGGTTTCACACAACATCACAATGTGGAACAACAACAAAAATAATACACAACATTGTGGTATTTCTCATGGTCTACATCACGCAGGGACATAACAAAGAAAGGCCTTTAATTTAACGTTATATATCAGTTATTACATATTATCTCATGGCATTGTAGTCGTGCCTGGATATGGATCATTACAGTGGAGAGACACACGCTAGTTTCTCCTCTGAGTTACAAACACTCGGGAGCTTTTCAGTCAAACCTGGAAAATACCCAGAAGAAGTCTTATTTACACTTTGCTCTGGAAGGAAGTTGACTATTCATTTTTCACTTCACTTGAGACTTGATTCTAGAGATGGTTGTAAAAGTAATTATTTATTGCAGTCATGTAAAAACTGAAGCTGCTCTGATTCAAATATTTATATTAAAAATGTTAAATTTGACTAGCAATATGTTCAAGATGTCACTGAAATAAATTATCAATTTCACTCAGATTTACTAAGCTACTTTCAGTTCATTTTTACTACAAGAGACAACAGACTAAACAAAGTCAATTTCACAAAGGAAATGCAAATCAATGTGTGTTTTCTTCCACTACTGGCAATAATTCCCCAAATGCTGCAGTTATACATTAGAAAGAAGACGGGACAACAAGATTAAATATTGAAAACAGCACCAGTCAAACCTCAAACAAACAAAAAACATATAAAACTGTAAGTTCGTATTATTTATGTTGATTTGTTTCGGTGTATTGGCCGCTAAAATGTACTCCAGCAGCGTGATTTGCTGTTGAATTGCCACTACAGGGAGGTCTCTGCACTTGAAATAAATGGTTAAACTCTTCCATCACTTCACGACTTTACCCCTCATGTAAGAACACTATGTGATTGCATTAGCAGTGCTATAGGAGCACATAAAGATGACAATACAAATCTACTTGTTTCTGTTTTTTTGAGCTAGTTCGAGTCCTTTTTGGCAGGAACTAACAGTCAAAATCAGATTGTTGGTTGTTCTATCTATCATGCATACAGGTCATTATTTAACATGACAGCTTTAAGGTGTATAATATAGTAAACAGCCAGCAGAGGGCGCCGTATCCCGGCTTCAAAGCAGCACTGCAGATGCAATCAATCATCCTCCTCGCGCTGTCAGGAAACAGGTCACATGACTGGGATAAAGCTGACAAGGTCACATGATGAGGGTGTTTTAGTGTGTGAAGAAGGCGTCAGTGGTCCATGATGCGCAGGTTTCCAGAAACTATTTTGTTCTCCAGCATGGAGCCGGCTGGAATATCAATACGATCCCCGTGGTTAGCGATGATGATGACGGTGCCCTGAGAGGAGGAAGAGCAATGAGTTGTAGTTTATCAGAGATTAGATTAATAATAACATTAATATGAGTAATAATAATAATAATAGCTCTTTTCGTACACTAGGTGCAGCTCAAAGTGCTTTGACAACACGGCACACATCATAAATTAAAACAGAGAACAAGAAATGAAATTCAGGTCAAGCAGTAAAACCTAGATAACCCTCTCAGTAAAACAAAGGAAGACACAAATTATAAAATAAATAAAACAATATAATGTTGTGTTGCAGCAGCAGCAGCAGCAATAAATCAATAAATAAACACAAACAGTAGATATAACAATATCAACAGTAGAAATATATATTTATCTAACATCTCAATCAAATACACAAAATAATGATACGGAATAAGTCAGTATACACTATAAACATAGGCGGAGTTTCACATTTGTGCTTGGGGGGGCAAACCTTTTTTACTGACGTCAGTACACAGTCCCAACTATTGCGTTGGGTGCTACGGATACAGTAGCAATAAAGCCAGTGCTCACCACACTGACTTTTCCATGCCCGTCGTACACACACACTGATATGGAAGGGGCGGTCTCTCCCCCCAACAACAGTGCATTACAGAACTGTAAAACTTATCATAACTGTGCACATCTTATACTTATTTGATAACTACTATATCCCTTGGTTACTTGAACACGCTACAATATTATTAACAAGTGTCCTACCTTATTAAAATATTGATATACGAAATATTTGGAACAGTTTTCGACGTAGTAATGCTGTAACATATTTCAATGCCCCCCCTGGCCCCTCCAAAATCCGCCTATGACTATAAATATGTGTATATGTATATGTATATAAGAATACTATATACATAATACAAGCACACATTTTAAAAATAAAGATAGAAATTGAGAAAATAGGTCATTTTAAAACTAGGATTTACTGTAATGAAAGCAATGAATCAATGACAGCCGTTGGACAGCAGGGACAGTTTTTGTTATGTCCTTGTTAAAAATGTAAATGTCCTGAGGGCAACTCTGAATATTATAATTAAAACGTGCAGATAAACGTTTAAAGATGTATGCCTCAAAGGTCTCTTCGCTCGTCATCTCCACCACATGAAAGAACACGTCTGACGTCACTGGTGCTCTTTACCCACAGTGTGTCTCAGTGTGAGAATACATAATGTGATGGGCTCTCATGCTCAACCCGAGACACTTTTACATCAGATTGAATACATTTTTTATATCGAGCTGTTTGCGCCATTGAAACCATTTGAAAACCAATTTTCTCTCACCTGTCTAAGGAGATAAATTGGGTTCATATTTGCTTTGACATAGTTGAGGCGCCTTACATGTATTCCTGTCGCTCTAATTTATTTATACCTCCTATTTGTTGAAGTGTCTTGTAAGCGTTTGGTTTCTAAACTATATTTGATTGAAGATGTTTTACCTTTAGTGAAACGTTTTTCCCGAGGGTGACGTCTCCGGACACGGTCAGGTGGTCGAGCTCCAGCATGTCAGGGATACTCTCGAAGCGATTCACATACTCCTGGACCTGAAACACACAAACACAAACACACACACACACACACACACACACAACGTGAATCCTTCAGCAGAACATCATATTATATCCAATTAATTCTAATGCTAATAAAATAGTTATCACCGCAATAAATCATATTTAATTTTGTCTTCATTTACATTATTTAATTTCAAAATGTCAAAAGTGTCACCTTTGGACATGAGTGAATATTTAGAGTAAATACAATAAATGTGATAAATCATCAAGATCTTAAATATTGTCATATTGTTACATATTTTCCACTAATATCGACCGTACATTGGTGAAGGAGCTGCCCAGCTTCACGTGGGGCGTGGTGGGGAACTCTCTGCGGGGGCTCATGGTGAGCGAGCCGGCGTCCAGGCTGTACAGGTTGGACATCACCAGCAGCAGGTCGGAGGTCGTCTTCACCGGCAGGAAGCGGCTGCGCGGCACGTTGATGCCCAGAGCGTTATCGAAACATTTAATGGCCGCCCCGACCGCCGTCTCCAGCTGGACCACGTTCTGCCCGCCGTCCAGCGTCTGAACAGAAAGAGAGGAGAGGAGACATGTTTATTCAAAACTCTTTTAAAGACATGCTTAGCACTCAGATCTGTCCTCTGTGTTTCTATCAGGCTATCTTGTTGCCGTGTATGTTTGAGTTAAAAAGGCCATAAAACACATCTTTTTAGAATAACCTTTTACTAGATCTTTAAAACCCCCACTTGTTGCCATGCAGGCGTAAACATCACTGCTTTTAATTTGTTGTTTTATTTGTTTTTTTAATTTTGTTTCAACCATTTTACTCTGTAGCACTTTGAGTTTTCTTTACTCAAATGAAAAGTGCGCTTATAAATAAAATGTATTATTATTATTAGTAGCCTCTGGCTCTATATTGCATGTTTGTGATTTAACTTGTCATTAGGGTGACTTTGTACATCTGTCCGGGGACTTCAGAAGAGAAAAAGCTTCTTTGCTGACTGTGCCGCATTTACAGCCATGTTTTTTAAATGTGCATTGTCCCTGTTAAATAAACCTATAGATACATAACACGTTATATTTTGCTGCAGAAAAAAAGAACAAGAAAGCAATTACTGCTGTTTCAAATCGCCAAGAAGTAACTGTTCTGTTTTCTATCCATCTCTCACTGCATTAAAGAACCACAAGGAAACAGAACACACGAACCTACAAATACAAATCAGAGTCCTGTTGTTACACAGCTCATGTACTACTCATTTAAGAATGTATTTCACAAGTTAATCTAAAACATCTGTGATTCGCTGAGACCTCAAATGACTTTCGTCTCATTTGGTTAAACCCTCGTTTCCCCAAAAATGTAAAACGTGCAGGGCTGAAGTCTTCAGTTACATGAGCAGGAGGATTTGGACCTCGCTGACCCCTCCTCTCAGGACACTGCTCTGCTCTATACTTTAACTACTGTTGGTTGGAAGAGATTCTGCTCATAAGTGGCCCCTAAATCAATCCTAAAGCTTTTTAGTGATCCCCTGACCTTCTCTCCAGCCCCATCATGAGATCAACATTTTAATTTCTTTATTACTTTGGTTAAGATGCCGTTTGAAATCAGGTTCTGTGTACTACAAACTAAATCAGAATGAACTGGCTGCTAAGTTAATACTCAACTAGATCATGAGCAGCCGTCTGTTCACACTGATGTACACGGTATTCAAGAAATATGTATTTCCTGCACAGAGGTGGGAAGTAGTGGAGTACAAATACTTTGTTTCTGTACTTAAGTACATGTTTCTGGTATCAGTACTTTACTCCACTACTTATTTTTCTGACGACTTTTTACTTTGACTTCTTACATTTTGAACAGAAATACCTGTACTTTCTACTTCTCACATGTTGAACTCAAATACCTGTACTTTCTACTTCTTACATGTTGAACACAAATACCTGTACTTTCTACTTCTTACATGTTGAACACAAATACCTGTACTTTCTACTTCTTACATGTTGAACTCAAATACCTGTACTTTCTACTTCTTACATTTTCCAAACAGGCTGGTTCCTTTAGTCTGAATGTGTGTTTGGTGGCGTGATCATTATTATTTAGAGTCATTGCGTGCCTATTGATTTGAAACACACATTCAGACTAAAGGAACCAGCCTGTTTGGAAAATGTAAGAAGTNCCCCCCCCCCCTTATCACCTGAATCTCCTCCTAGAGCACCCTTGTGTTCTTTTTAACCAAATCTCTCTCAGAGGGGCGTGGGGAGGGGCTCCTTATTTTCATCTAAAGTAACAGACAGAGAATCAGCACTTTTGAAACAGAGGGGATTATGGGATGCTGCAATGATCTGTTTTGGGTTTCAGCCAATCAGAGACAGGCTCTGTATATATCTGAGACCTGTGATATATTGATGAAAAACAGTATAATAGGGGACCTTTAAACAAAAATACTTGTTGATGAAATGAAAGGTTCAGTCTTTCATTCATTTCAGCAGTAACGGTATCAGGTTATCAACGTTTTTGATCCAAATGAACCCCTGTTGGTGCCGTACGAACGTAAAAATGGAACTGGACACGAACAGAAACAGGATGTCTGATCTTATCGTGTACTTCTCTTCTCTCCAGGTACCCTCGCATCAACAAAGAGTCGCTCCTCCCGGTCTCCACCAGCCTCAGCATGACGGGGCAGAGTGCAGAGGGCTGGTACCCCCCGGGGCACGGAGACATCTACGCCAGCTTCTACAACTCGGGGCTCATGGACCAGCTGATCGCTCAGGGCAAGGAGTACATCTTCGTGTCCAACATCGACAACCTGGGAGCCACCGTGGACCTCCACATCCTGCACCACCTGGTCAGCCAGCCCAACGGCAAGCGCTGCGAGTTCATCATGGAGGTGACGGACAAGACGCGCGCCGACGTCAAGGTGAGGAGAGGAGGAGGGTTATATTCATACTGACGTGATTTCTAGGAAAATATGTGCTTATGGCTTTGTTTTAGATATGATGTACTTTATACTCAATGCAATACAAATACATCACAGTATAGTTGAAGTGCTATAAGATAAGATAAGAAGTACTTTATTGATCCCAATTTGGGAAATGCTTGCCTTGCAGCAGCATAAAAAGACAAGGCATAGAGAGAAATTAAAACACTAGAAATAAACAATCAAAAAATGTGAACATCAAAATAGAATTAAAAGTAAAAAAAATATACATGTGGAAATACAAATTTACATTAACAAACTATTACAGTTGTTTCATTATTATTATTATTATTTTGTCTTTGTTGTTTTGGAATTTGTGTCATAATGGAGGACGTGTATATTCATACTGACATATGATTTAGTAAAGGATGTGCTTCTGGCTTTGTTTTAGATATTATATACTTTAAAGTCATGCAATACAAATACATCCCAGTATAGTTGCAGTGCCTTAAACCAAACATATTCACAATTTAACAGAAGTAGTCTTTTTCTAAGGAATAAATAAAGGTTTATATAGTTGCTGTTAGAGCCAGTATTTTGATTTGATAAGAAAGGCCACCTAATTGTGACGTCTGTAGTCAACGCACTATAAAAGGACTACAATTCCCATGGCGCCGGTGCTAAAGCCACAGTGATGGGCAACCTGTTGAGAGACGCCGTCGAGGGACAGTTTTTAACCGTACTTATCTTATCTTACCGTAACGTACCGTACTCTTACCGTACAAGTACCCTTTAAGTTATAAGCATTATCAAGACGGAAAGAATACCTAAGTTGTTTTGTTATTTTACTTTGAGTTTTGCCTATTTCTTTTGAATATTGTAAAGGCCTATATTCTTTGTTGCATGTGCAAATGTTTGTTATGTTATTTTGAGCAAACACATCGCAACATCTTCTTAACCACACTTCAAACTGTGAGTAATTTAAGGAAAGAAACGAGTTAGAACTGTCTGTTTAAGGCGTCTAGTGGCTTGATGGAAATACAAGGAAGGAAGCCACGACAGTTGCTGTGGGAGAAGATGATTACAGTTGTTTCGTTATTAATTTATTACATGTCAAGTGTTTGAGAACTCAGATTACTGGACATGATAAGGGCATGTGTAATTTGGGTGTCCTTTTCATACTGAAAGACTGGATTTAATTTGATTGATTCTTATTTTTCTATAAACTCTTAGGGACTGCCTTGCTTTTGGTGGAAAATGACTGACGCTAACCAAACTTTAATACAATAAATAATCCTTATTATTTGGATGGAGTGGCGAGTAGCATGGAGAGTTTCTGTAACGCCTTGGAGTTCATCCATTAATCCCAAACTCAGTACATGTTGTTAATAAATTTCCTGTGGTTTTCAGGGTGGCACGCTGATCCAGTACGAAGGGAAGCTGCGTCTGCTAGAGATCGCCCAGGTGCCCAAAGCCCACGTGGACGAGTTCAAATCGGTTTCAAAGTTCAAGATCTTCAACACCAACAACCTGTGGATCTCTCTGCCCGCCATCAAGAGGCTGCAGGAGCAGAAGGCCATGGACCTGGAGATCATCGTCAACCCCAAGGTGAGAGGGACATCGCTCAATGTTGTCCTTTTGAATCAGCTGTTTTAAGCTTTGAAGGCTGCTGCGTTTAAAGAAAGGCCATGCCATAGAGCAGGGGTGTCCAAACTACGGCCCGGGGGCCAAATGCGGCCAGCGGACCATTTTGAATCGGCCCTCAGCAAATTCAAAGTATAATGAAATATGGCCCACAAATGAAACATCTGCTATTGTACTTCTTAAATATATATGTTAAAATATATAACACAGTATTCATGTGTTAATAATTTAATCAGTCAATTCAAGTTTAAAACATTTTCTAACATATCTTAGTTTTTTTTTTAAAAAGCCCGATAACACATTTACATGACAACCTTGAAATATACCCTTCATATTTCCTCTTATTATCAGCAATCTGAGGCTTCTGCTTTAAGGAATGAGCTGCCAACACAATAAATGAAACCCTGCGGAGAGCTGTGTTTTTTTTTCATCAATATCAACAATAATTTACCTAAATTTGATTGATTGACGAGACAATATACCTCTAGTGAGCGGACCAGCCCTTCGTATATTTTTCTGTATGTGGCCCTCGGTGATTAAAGTTTGGACACCCCTGCAATAGATGCTCAGATTCAAAAAGCATTCAATGGAATAATAGCAAACCGCATCTGTTTTTACCTCGTCCCTCCTTTCGCGTTTGAAAACGTACCCTTGAATAGCAGAGCGGAGAAATATCAGCCCCACTCTCCTTCCCTTTCTTCTGAATAAATCATATCTGAAGAAATTCAAGCTTGCCGATGCTGAAGCCTGTTCCTGCTCCACTCTCTGAGCCCTTTGTTGTCATGCAAGGTTTTTGCATACAAAAGAGAGAAAAGGAGCTTCAGACCAAACTGCTCTGCTCTCCGGGGGCTCATCTGCCCCACTTGGACTCTCATTTAAAATGTGTTTGTGTTCATGTGCGTGCAAAAGAGAGACACATATGAAAGTGTTATTTTCCCTTACAAAAGTGCAGCTTCAAATGCAAATTCCTCTCCTTTTAAAAGATGCATTTTTCATTTTCAATGTACTCTTCTTGCTGAGCTTGTTTGTCCAGCTCTCACACACATTTGCATGTTCAGGTTGAGGTTAAGGTTAGTTATTTGTGCCCTTAAGTAGATCTGGTTTGCAGATAAAAAAAGATCTGCGGATTGGTCCATTTGGTCCAATCCGGTCCTTTGTGGTTGATTTGGGTGTTCACACGTCACAGAAACCCAAGAAGCAAACA